TCCCTCTCCTACTAATAACAAATAATAACAAAAAACACATATACCTATTTTATATTATAAGGATATAGAACATTAATTATGAAAGAAAAGAAAAGTAGAGTTTTCCTTTTCCTCCCAAGCGCCTTTCTAAATTAATCTTACTCGAATAGAACAGTATATGTATAATATTTCTCTAGGTTATATGGAAGCCTTTTGAATTATTTTTTAGGCAATTCATATACCACTGACTTTTAAGTTTTACACTAGCAAGACCAATTTATTGACATAAATTCCAAACAAAATTTTAGGAATGGGTTCAAAAAATTAATGAAATATAGGAAAAAACACTTTAGCACGATAAACCTAGAAGTTAAACATGAATTGGAAACAAAATGTAGTTAAAAATAAGTTTCCATATGAAAATATATTGTGACTTGATAGAACAACTATTGGGCACATTTTGCACTGTTATTTTATCGTAATTTTGGCTACTTACTGTGCTAAGTATTGAGATTTTGCTCATATTTCATGTTTGTATGAATTACAGGTGGTTGGTATAAAAAGTGCTTTTACGAGGCAAATTTTCAGAAGACTCTCTATTTCATGGCGTACCCACGCTAGAAATTGAGAAGACTCACCTAAAAGCCGGACCCGCGGGCTTGGTAGCAGCAGGCCAACTAGGAGACCAGGTCTACGTGGACCAGGAGCACGGGATTAAAACCCTTAGGAAAGGAAGGGCTACTGGAGACGTTTCTTTCCTTGGTTGGCGGCGCTACGAGAGGCTTAAAAAAGCCAGATTCACGTCCAATTAAGAGGAGAGCTTTAGTTTCAATTATTGCTTCAGACGTTTCTTTTCTCTTGAGCAGCAATTAAGAGCCAGAATCACATGCGACCAATTAGTTCTAGCTTGAGTTTCAATTTGGGTCAGACGTTGGAGCTTTTCCTCTTTTCTCTAGCTTTTTGCGTTTTACGACTTTGACTCCTGAATTTTTACTCTTGCTCTGGACAATTCTCTGTTAGCTCTTGTTTTGTAATTTCGGCTCCAGTACGGAGACGAAACCCAAAAAGAAAGAGACAACATCTTTTTGTCTACTTTCTCATTATTTCCTCCTTTCGCATCTCCTTGGCAATTAATTGGATGATATCAATTAAATCACGTGAGATTGATACGATGAGGAGCTGCTAGATTTCCCCTCTACCCAAGGATTAATGCGAAGGCGCGGTCCATAACATCTGTGAGATCTAATCAAATTTTCACTATTTCGTCCAATTTGTTGCTATTCTTGTGTTTTTTGAATTAATTGTCTATGGGTATTTTATTAATTGAATATCAACGGCCGGATATTTGATTTAATATAATAGCCTACTGCCACGTTAATTAAATTGAATCCGTAATTGTTCGTTTAGTTGACAACTAGTGGCAACCACCATAATTGGCTTTATGTTGGAAAAACGCAAGATCTGATTTAAATAAACCCTCTTAGCGTATTTATTGGTTAGGGTTGGGTTCTTCTAACTTTAATGCAACTGGATAATTAAATTCCTACGGTCGTACCTAGGGTTATTTTCTGGTTAGAAAAGCATTCAATGGTCGTATCTTGACTGTCGAAAAAGTAAGGAAAAACTGGTTATCAGAGATTATTGATAGCTATAACCAACCTAGTGATGAATGATTGAAATATCTTTGCATCGATGATTATTTAATTGGACCGTGCCTGAGCAGTTGATCTTTCAGGTAGAATTTTATTAATTACTATTTTTGCTAAATTGAACTTGTTGAGTTAGCTCTTGAATTTCATTTATATTTTCATCCCATTAATTATCCCCCTATTTTATTCTATTGACTTGAAAAGAAACAAGTTCCTACCCGTTCCCTGTGGAATCGACCCTACTTGCCATTGTATGTAAATTTAACATTTTTATAGATAATTCTAGTATATCGGATCAAATAAACTCTTCGGAAACAGGGTGAATCAAGTAACTCATTGCACACTTAGAGTCCCTGCTCCAGTACTCGGATTTGTTCTATAATTAATTGTGGTGGTAATTAGGACTTTTTAGTAATTATTATTGCACAGGTTCGGCACCTGTCAATTTTTTGCGCCGTTGTCGGGGAACGGTATTTTGGTTAATTTTATTTCTTTTTAAGTTATTTTCTTTGAATTTGTCTGACATTTTTTTAGTTTATGCCTCGTTCTTCTCGTACAAGCGAATTGATTTTCGATCCAGAAGTAGAGAAAACTGCGCGTCGAACTAGGAAAGAGACTAGACAGTTTAGAGAGGAGCAATCTAGCATTGCATCTCAGGGACTTGATCCTAAGGTCAAATCAACAGATTCAGGTGGTGATAATTCAAGTGATTCAGATCAAGAGAATATCCGTATGGTAAATGCAAGAACACTAAGGGAGTTGGCTGTTCCGAAATTGCCGCAGCAGCCTTTGTTCATCACGTTTTCAAGTTTAGCGGAAAATACCTCATTCGAATTGAAGTCGGGATTTATTCACCTATTACCTACGTTCCAAGGCCTCTCAGGTGAGGAGCCCCATAAACACATCCAGGAGTTCGATGTGGTATGCTCCAATATGAAGCCTCCAGAAATTACTGAGGAGCAGATTAAACTTAGAACTTTCCCTTTCTCCCTCAAGGACGCAGCTAAGGATTGGTTATACTACCTACCCGCAGGTAGTATCATAACATGGGCCCAATTGAAAAATAAATTTTTAAAAAAATTTTTCCCTGCATCCGGGGCCACAAGTCTGAGAAAGGAGATATGCAGCATTAAGCAGTACCCTGGAGAATCCCTATACGACTATTGGGAGAGGTTCAATAAATTGTGTACTAGATGCCCACAGTATCAAATTAGTGAACAGCTATTGATCCAATATTTCTATGAGAGGCTCCAGTCATCCGACAGGAGTATCATTGATGCTGCAAGAGGGGGGAGCACTGGCAAATAAGACCCTGAGGGAAGCATGGCTGCTCATTGAAACTATGGCAGAGAATTCTCAACAGTTTGGCTTCCGTGAGAGTAACCCTACCCGCAGGGTTAATGAGGTGGAGACGACATCTATTCAGCAACAGTTGTCGGAGCTAACATCCTTTGTTCGATAATTAGCTGTGGGGAATATGCACCAAGTAAAGGCCTGTGAAATCTGCACAAATGTGGGCCACCCTACTGACTCATGCCCTATGTTGCAAGAGGATGTGGTTGAGCAAGTTAACATGGCTGGAGGCGTGTCTGCGCCTCGTAGGCAGTACGATCCATATTCCAACACATACAATTCGGATTGGAGAGATTACCCCAATTTCAGTTATGGTAATAAGCCACAGAATTCATTCTCCAATCGTCCACCAGGATTTTAGCAACCATAACAACAAAAGTCTCAACCCTCGTCCTTCAACGCAAGAAGTTCTCTGGAAGATATTGTCAAGAGCTTGGCCACGAGCACCACTCAGCTCCAACAGGAGACGAGATCTTTGGTCACGAGGACTGCTCAGTTCCAGCAGGAAACTAAATCAGGCATGACAAATCTGGAGACCCAAATAAGCCACATGGCGACTGCGATCAATCGTTTGGAGTCCCAAGTCTTTGAAAAATTACCATTGGAACCCGAGACAAACCCCAAGAATGTAAGTGCCATGACACTGAGGAGTGGCAAGGAAGTAGAGGGGCCTAAGGCCACAAACCTGAAGAGCAAAAGTGAAGATGAGATCGAGAAGGAGATGGAAGAAGAATGACACACTCGTGGAGATCCTGAGGTAACTCTAACCCCTTCAATTCCCATTAAATCAAATTTACCCTCTTTTCCATGTAGGTTGGCAAAGACGAAGAAGGCAGAGAAGGAAAAAGAGATCCTGAACGTATTCCGAAAGGTAGAGATCAACATTCCCTTGTTGGAGGCAATTAAGCAGGTTCCCAAGTACGCGAAATTTCTCAAGGATTTATGCACCCATAAGAGAAAGTTGAGAGGGGACGAAAGAGTAGCGGTGGGAGAAAACGTATCAGCCATATTTCAAAGAAACCTCCTACCCAAGTGTGGAGATCCAGGTATGTTCACGATCCGTTGCAAAATAGGAAATGCACCGATTAGAAAAGAAATGTTAGATTTAGGGGCGTCAATCAATGTGATGCCAAAAACTATCTATGCTTCTCTAAATCTTGGGCTATTAAAAGAAACGGCCATTATAATCTAACTAACTGACCGCACCAATGCCTATCCAGAGGGGTTAGTTGAGGATGTCTTGATCCAGGTAAATGAGTTAGTTTTTTCAACAGATTTTTATATCCTGGATATGGGAGATGAAAAATCATTAAACCCGTCACCTATTTTGTTCGGTAGACCATTTCTTAGCACTGTCAGGACTAAAATAGATGTGAATGAGGGTACTTTATCAATGAAATTTGATGGTGAGACTGTGAATTTCAATATTTTTGAGGCGATGAAGTATCCAGAGGAACTTAACTCAGTTTTTGCTTTGAGTGTTATTGAGTCTTTTGTGCAGGAAACTTTCGAATTGGATGGTAAAGACGCATTAGAAGTGGCCCTAACCAAGCATCTTGAGTTGGGTATAACTCTTGATGTGGACATGAGGGATGAATTACACCATGCGGTTGAAGCCCTGCACTCACTTCCAACCGTTTCTCCGAGGTATGAGTTTACTTCTATCTTTGTGCCAGAAATTCAGACAAAATTGCTTCCCTCAGTTGTGCAGGCACCGGAGTTAAAACTTAAACCTCTCCCGAAGTATCTAAAGTACGCATTCATAGGAGACCGAGAGACGCTTCCGGTGATCATCTCTGCACATTTATCCCCAAGTCAAAAGGACAAACTGGTGCAAATCCTTAGGGACATAAGGAGGCGATTGGGTGGAGCATAGCAGATATCAAGGGGATAAATCCATTATTATGCATGCACCGGATTCGGTTCGAAAATTATGCGAAACCGGTAAGACAGGCACAGCGGAGGTTGAATCCCCTGATAATGGAAGTTGTAAAAAAGGAGATACTTAAACTCCTAAAGATGGGGATTATTTTTGCTATCTCAGACAGTCCTTGGGTAAGTCCTGTTCAAGTGGTTCTGAAAAAGGCGGGAGTGACCGTAGAGAAGAGTTAGGAGGGTGATATGGTTCCGGTTAGAAAAGCTACTGGCTGGCGTCAGTGCATTGACTACCGGAGACTAAACTCTGTGACAAAAAAGGACCATTTTCCCTTCCCTTTTATTGATCAGATGGTAGAACGATTAACTGGTCGTGTTTACTATTGTTTCTTGGATGATTTTTTAGATTACTTCCAGATCGTGATAGCGCCAGAGGACCAAGAAAAGACTACATTCACATGCCCATTTGGTACATTCGCTTACCGTCGGATGTTTTTCGATCTCTGCAATGCCCCTGCAACCTTCCAAAGGTGTATGGTAAGTATTTTTTCCGAATATGTAGAAAAGATTATTGAGGTGTTCATAGATTATTTTAGTGTATACGGTAATAGTTTTGAGGAATGTCTTGATAATCTAGCTTTAATTTTGAAAAGGTGCATAGAGACGAACTTGGTTTTTAATTGAAAAAAATGTCATTTCATGGTAGAACATGGTATTGTCTTAGGGCATGTTGTGTCGGTTAAGGGAATAGAGATAGACAAAGCTAAAATATATCTTATTTCTACTCTACCTTACCCCGTATGTGTACGGGAAGTGCGTTCCTTTTTAGGCCATGTAGAGTTTTACAGGAGGTTCATCAAGAACTTGTCAAAGATTGGAGCACCCCTATTCAAGTTGTTACAGAAGGATGTGACATTTGATTTCACTAATGAATACAAGGTGGCCTTCGACAAATTGAAAGAGTCGATGACATCGCCGCCCGTCATTGAACCCCCAGATTGGAGCCTCCCATTTGAAATCATGTGCGACACGAGTGATTATGCCGTGGGAGCCGTGTTGGGGCAAAGGATAGGAAAGGCGGCACACGCGATCTACTATCCATCGAGGGCATTGAGTGGAGCCCAACTTAACTACTCCACAACGGAGAAAGAATTACTCGCCGTTGTTTTTGCACTAGAGAAATTTAGGTCATATTTATTAGATGCAAATGTAATTATTTGCTCTGATCATGCAGTCTTGAGATACCTACTAGCGAAGAAGGATGCAAAATCGAGACTCATAAGGTGGATCTTGCTCCTGCAGGAGTTCGACTTAGAGATCAAAGATAAGAGTGGAGCCGAGAACTTGGTGGCCGACCATTTGAGCCGGCTACTTACAAATCAAGAAGACTTACCGCTGAGGGAATCATTTCCTGAGGAGCAATTGTTAGCCATTGATTCGTCAATACATTGGTATGCTGATATTGACAATTTTTTGGTAACGAATCAATTACCTGCAGGTTGGTCAAAGGCTAAAAAAGATAAATTGAGAAATGACGCCAAGCACTATATTTGGGATGACCCATACCTGTGAAGGCAGTGCTCGGACCAAGTGACAAGAAGGCGTGTAAGTGCATGTGAGTTCCATTCTATTTTGACTTTTTGTCATTCATTTGCATGTGGAAGGCACTTTGGGCCAAAGCGGACAGCTCGTAAGGTGTTAGAAAGTGATTTTTATTGGTCTACTCTGTTTATGGATGCATACTTATTTTGTAAATCATGTGATAAGTGTCAAAGGGTAGGGAATATTTCTCGTAGAGACCAAATGAGTCAAACCCCCATGTTATTTGTTAAAATTTTCGATGTTTGGGGTATAGATTTCATCGGTCCCTTTCCCTCGTCTTTTGGTTTCTTATATATTTTACTTGCTGTCGATTATGTTTCCAAATGGGTGGAAGTAAAAGCTACTCGGACTAACGATTCGAGAGTGGTTGTAGAATTCATAAAGTCTAACATTTTTGTCCGCTTTGGGATGCCGAGAGCCATAGTGAGTGACAGGGGCACCAATTTCTACAATAAGGCGATCACTGCGTTGTTTCGTAAATATGGCGTGCTCCACAAAGTATCCACTCCCTACCATCTGCAGACGAATGGTCAGGTCGAAGTGTCAAATAGGGAGGTCAAGTCAATTCTAGAGAAGATGGTGCGGCCCGATAGGAAAGATTGGAGTTTGAAGTTGGAAAATGCTCTATGGGCCTATCGCACAGCCTATAAGACGCCGATTGAAATGTCCCCATATAGATTCGTCTTTGGGAAGCCATGCCATTTACCAGTGAAATTTGAACACCGAACATTTTGGGCACTTAAGCGATGTAACATGGATCTTATGGAGGCCGGAGGACATAGAAAACTCCAATTACAAGAGTTGGAGGAGCTAAGGAATGAAACCTATGAGAAAACCGCAATTTATAAGGAGTAGAGTAAAATTTTTCATAGCCAACAAGTCTCAAGGAAGTCATTTGTAGTAGGACACAAAGTCCAACTTATCACTCGAGACTTAAGCTTTTTCCGGGTAAGTTACGTTCGCGTTGGATTGGGCCATTTGTTATCTCTAATATTTTTCATTATGGTGCAGTGGAGATCCAAAACTTGAAAACGGAGAAGAAGTTTGTGGTCAATGGTCACCGTCTGAAACCCTATTATGAAGGGTTTAATAGTGAGCAAGTGGAGGTCATGTCTCTTGATAATCCAAGTTGTGAAATCTAAACAGTTGATTGCCATGTCTAGCCAAAGATATTAAAGAAAGGCACTGCTTGGGAGGCAAACCAAGGACTACAGTATTAGTTGTGGTCATTTTTCATTACTTTGCGATTTTTCAGTTCTATTTTTTTTATTTTGATTGTTTTTGTGGTGCTAAACAGAAGACTAGGGGTTCCAAGGCGTGCCCACGTCTTGGAAAAGGTACGCCAGGTGCCCTGAGCAAATTGGAGACTAGCAGCTTTAAAGCATGCCCACGTCTTGAAAGGAATCCTTTTGAACATTATCAGGATGCAATGGTCAGAAGACTGTGTCCCCCAAGGCGTGCCCACTCCTTCCAACTCTTCCGATAACGAAAGTCAACGAAAAAATTGTTGACCAGGACCCTTCTAACCCTACTTTTCCACTTTACTCTTTTCCTTGTCTTGTCTAGGCAAGTCAATGTCCGTTGTTTTGGTTTTTACTCTTCTTTCTTTTTCTTTCTTTGTTTGGTATTAATTTCACTTCCTTCTTTTCCTCTGTTTTCTTGTTCCGTCGCCGCTGCCACCGTCGCGTGCCGCCGCCACTGCTCGAGCGCCACCGCAACGCCTCTTTCCCTCTCTTTCTTTCTCTTTCTTGCTCTTCTCTCTCCACGCATCCCATCGTCTTCGCCACACGCCGCCGCCTGTCGCTGCGCCATCGTCCGCCGCCCGTGGTCAGCAGTCGCGCGCCGCCGCCAGACCCACCTCGCCGCGCGACCCAGCTCCAGCGTGCGCGCGAAGCAGAAGGGTCCACCCAGCGCGTCTTTACGCGTTTGCCCACGTTTCCTCCAGCCAGCGCCTGCGTGCCCCAGTGGGTGCGGTCTTCCTCTCGTTGGGCACCTAGCGCGCATAACCCAGCAGAGCCAGCGCGCGACCTGCGCGCAGTAGCAGGTGCTCACCAGCCTCGCCAGCCGTGCGCGGACCTCCCCCTGTGCAGCCCAGAAAGCCGACGTAGCGCGCCCGCGTGCGCAGCGTCCAGATCCAGCATGCGATCGAGCTTCGCCCCAACCGCGCGTACAGCAGAGCGCGCCTACCCAGCGCGCGCGGCCAGCTACCAGATCCGTAGCGTGCCCAGTAGCCGCATTGCTGTCACTGCCACGGTATCCTCCAGCTGAAAAAAAATTATAGTGGTACCCCTATTTCTCTCATTTTGCCCTGGTGACTAAGATCTGGAATTTTTGTTAATAATTTCTCACTCCAGGTTGGGTTGAAATAACTGTTAGTTTAATCGGGGGACCGTTTGATTGTTGTCTGAAAATGGGAGACCTCGTATCCGCCTTTCATTGATTATCTAATTTGGACTTGAGACATCTGTGGGCTCTGGTGAATCTATTATTTGGTACACGTGGTCAGTAACTCACCGATTGTTGACTTTTATTGACTGATATTTTAATTTGTGGGGTGTTGGATCTGTCTTCTTTATTGTTGTCTGCCAATTGACGGCAGTGGGGCATTGTTAGTGTTTGTTGTTTTGCCGTTGTTTGGTGGGGTAATTGTGTTCCCTCTTTGCTATTGGACTACTGATGATTGAATATTAATTGTTGACTGTGGTCCCCTATCCACTTTTGGGTGGTTGATTGACTGTCTCTGTGCCTGTTTACATTTTACTTGTGGTCTTCGAATGCCTCCGAAAAAGGTAACAACTGCTGGGCCATCTGAGTCCCAGCCTAGTAAGAGGCGAGCCCCAATTCTACACCCCATTCGATCTCGTTTGGGCCTGAATAAAAGCACTATGTCTCCTGGGGAATAGGGGGAACCGGTCACTAACCTTACAAGGGCACAACAGGACCGATTTAATAGCATGGTGCACCGTTCTTTTTCTCCTTGTAAGTGCTTCCATGCCCCGACCCTGGACCATTTGCAAATTGCACGAGAAGTTGAACAGTTGTTCTCGGCAATAGGTTGGCAGCGGTATCTAAACATTGATTATCCTATATTTGAGGAGCTGTGTTGTGAATTCTATTCCACTTTTGAGTTCATAAAAAATGAATGGATTACGTTGGATGAACCGAGGACTATTCAATTTCGGTTAAGGGGTGCCCATCATGAGATGTCCATTAATGACTTTAATGTGACTTTGGGGTTTGTTACTGAGAATACAATTTCATCCGACACATATATAAACAGTGCGTGTGATTACACTAAACCGTTTTCTACTGATTACATTGACATATGGAGGGAGTGGTCTACGGACACTCAACTTTATGATCCGAGTCAGTCTAAAGCCTCATATCTGAAGGATCCGATCCTGAAAGTCATCCACCGATTTTTGGCCTATAACTTCTCGGGCCGGAAGGATTCCTCTGGCACTCTTACCAAGGCGAAATTTTATTTTCTTTGGTGCATGCAGAACAAAGTTTAAGTTAAATTTGGGTGTTGGGTGGCCACTCAAATGCAATCCGTTGTCCAAAAGCAGCATAAACTGCTAATTCTAGGCTTGCTCATCACTTACTTGCCCGTTCGATTGGGATTGCTTGACCTCAACAGCGAGCACAACTTCGCTCCAGCTCGTGAGATTGAGCCACTGGATTTGTGAAACTTGGAGCGGATGGGGGTCATTTTCAAGGTAGGAGATGTCTATCAGATGACACCTCCTGGCGAGGGCAAGCCACAACCTCAGGTTCCCCCGACGGCCCCCTCTGCTGAGCCTCCACCTCACCCCGATCAGGCGGATCCATCCGCCTATCATGCTCCTCCTGCTTGGGAGTCCCAATATCACTCTCTCCAAGAGTCTATCCATGCGCTAGGGAGGCGAGTTGAGGGACGGAGGACAGTCTTAGAGCATTACAGGTTTTCTCCCGTATTCAAATGGAGAATCAGGCGGCTTTCTATGCTCATATTGGATTCCAGCCACCACATCCTCCACCTCCTTAGGATCTCGCCGCACCTCCTCAGTAGTTAGGGAAGTTTCGCCCCTCTTGTCCTTGCACTTTATTTGTCTAGATTACATTGAGGACAATGTAGATTTTAGGTGTGGGGGGAATGGTTTCTATTACTTCTTTTTGTTTCGAGTAATTCCTTTTATTCGAAAAAAAGGAGAAAAAATGGGAATAACTAGATAAAAAAAATGAAAAACAAGAAAGTGAAAAAAAAAAGAAAAGAAAAAATGGGTAGTTAGTTGACTTTCTTTTTATTTTTACATTTGTTAGCTGTTAGAGCATGTTGCTATGATGGATTGCACAATTAGGGTGCACAAGTATGTGGTCATATATGCTAGCTGTGCGTTCTACTTTTCCTTGGCAATATCGTTGAATGTTGGATATATTGGACTTGACCCATTCTTGGAAACTTTTGTGAGCTTTTGAGTCATGCATGAGCACATTATTCATATTTGCTCTATTTTTGTTTGATTGAGTGGGTATCACATATGGTATTGGCATTCTAGAACTTGCTATTTTATACATGTTGAGGCCACATTTTGTTGAACTGAATGCATTTGAAATGATAAGGGCATTTAGGATCTAACTTTCTTTAACTTTCTACAAACCATGCCTTCATCTTGTCTCCCAATAGTGAACCATTTTGAGCTTTTACCCCTCTCCTTTGTTTGTTAGCCATGTCTGATAACCTAGAACCTTTTTAGACTTTCTTGTTCACCCTTGTGTCATTAAGGAATGTCTGAAATTCATTTTTTGTGCAAAACAAATAAATCTAGGACCACAAGTGTTGTTAGAATAGAATCTGTATGGTGCCGTTTCTGTGCTCTGGAGCAAAAAAGGGAGAAATCGGCAAAAACCTGGTGAGCAGAAGACTCTGTCTTCTAGGGCGTGCCCATGCCTTGCTAGACGTCCTCTCCAAAAAAAAAAAAACAGCTCGTGAACAGAAGGCTATGGGCTACAAGGCGCTTGTTCAAAGAAAAAAAAAAGAAAAAAATGGAGAAGAAAAAAAGGGGACGAGTTTCGACATTTGCACAGTGGAAATAGCAAAGGAAAATGCCTTGCTTGTGAAACTTCCCCGGTAAAGCATTGTGGTTATGTAGGGGGTATCAGACATTCTTTTGACATATTACACCCTATTTTTACCTTAATCGCCTTCTACCTAAGCCCCATTACAACCCTATTAAAGTCCCTTTGATTTGTGTATTTAGTTCACTTTCGAGTGGTGAAGATGTGATAAATGTGCAAGCCTATAGTAATGCCATTCCATGATCTTGATTTGAGAGTTTCTAGTATTCATATATTTTCTTTGAATTACCACTTGTCCGGTGTATTCTCATTTTGGTGACATTGTCAGGGATCTGAGGTGCTTGTGTTAGTATAGCTTACTGCATGACCTTTGCTATCTTGGTTGTACTTCTGAGCTCCGAAATGCTTGAGGGCAAGCATTGGCTAGGTGTGGGGGGATTTGATATAGCAACTATTGGGCACATTTTGCACTATTATTTTATCCTAATTTTGGCTACTTACTATGCTAAGTATTGAGATTTTGCTCATATTTCATGTTTGTATGAATTACAGGTGGTTGGTGTAAAAAGTGCTTTTACGAGGAAAATTTTCAGAAGACTCTCTATTTCATGGCGTACCCAAACCAGAAACTGAGGAGACTCACCTAAAAGCCAGACCCGCGGGCTTGGTAGCAGCAGGGCCAACTAGGAGACTAGGTCTACGTGGACCAGGAGCACGGGATTAAAACCCTTAGGAAAGGAAGGGCTACTGGAGACGTTTCTTTCCTTAGTTGGCGGCGCTACGAGAGGCTTAAAAAA